CACATATATATATATATATATATATATATATATATATATACTGTATATACACACATTTATATATATGAAAAATATATTCATTTAAAGTGCCCCTATATATACATAGGTTTTTATGTTTTATTATTCAAGAAAATGAATAGATAAAAAGTGTGAAGAAAATCAATAGTATAAATAAATAATAATGCAGTGCAAATAAATATTAGTAACGAAAAAATATATATTTATAAAAAATATAAATATTAGGAATATTATAGTCAAATTATATTTATATAATGCTGATATTAGTAATAAAAGGAAAAAGATTAATCTAAATTTAATTCATACAGTGAACACAATGCCGTGTTATTTTACACTTAATTATTCAATTTCTGTGCCTGAATACTACAGTTTATATTATCTATGCTTGTAAATTGTGTATTTCTTTTTTTTTTTCTTTTTCTTTCTTTTATTTTACTGACTGTTCACTTGCCTTTAATCATGTTTGAACTTTCTCAGACTATAGTTTTTGCTGTGGCATATGAAGAAGTACTTGTGTGGAAAGCAAAGTTACAATGATATAAAATTAGTGTCATTAATTTTTTTATATATATATATATATATATATATATACTGTATATACACACATTTATATATATGAAAAATATATTCATTTAAAGTGCCCCTATATATACATAGGTTTTTATGTTTTATTATTCAAGAAAATGAATAGATAAAAAGTGTGAAGAAAATCAATAGTATAAATAAATAATAATGCAGTGCAAATAAATATTAGTAACGAAAAAATATATATTTATAAAAAATATAAATATTAGGAATATTATAGTCAAATTATATTTATATAATGCTGATATTAGTAATAAAAGGAACTCATGCATTACTGTAATTGCATTAAAATCTGCATAAATAAAATTTTCCAAATGCAATTTTTATATTATTATTATTGCTGTTGTTGTTCCAGTAATGAGAATGAGCTTCTTTACAAACCAAAATATATTAATTTAGTCTAAAATTGGGTTTAATTTTTTTTTATTACATTTTTATATTCATTAAAATGTTATGATGTAATTTTTCCTCTCATGATCTGGTCACATTTATTAACCATTGGTTTATTTTATCACATTCATGTTGCCATAAAAGCAATAATAAGCATTTGAAGAAGCACATGACAGTCATTTTAATCACAATTAAGAAGCATTGTGTTTCACAGTGAGACTAACAAAACCATAGTAAAATCCCTGTAACGTATGGCCTCACAAGGGCTTATCAATTTATTTTCCATTAACTGGAAACAAAGGTTCACGAACGTAAGGTATTCCATCAAAGCAGCGAGATTAATTATATAATAGTGTTACACAGTCTAATATGAATATAAGAACATACTGTACACTGTGACAATGGCATGGGAAAAGAGTCACAACAATGCACACAGGACAACATGCTCCAAACTCTAAAGAGCAAAGTGACTCACGGGGTTATTGATGAGAGGAACTGTCCAAAGTCAAACAGCGCCAGCACAATACCAGCTTCCTGTGCCATAGGCCACCTGTCTCTCTTGTTTAGAACAATCGCTCCGGCGAAAGCCACATCCTAAGCCGCAGATACCCAAAGCACCTGCTGCTGTGTCCACTCACAGACCATTAGTGCACATGCCATTTCATTTGAGTACTGGATTTTCACTAACAAACATGGGGTCAGGGAGGAAAACACACAGCACGCGATAGTCCCAACACAACCGGAGCTTGTGCATTCAAAACTCAGGACTCCGTCTCAGTAAGCATCTCAATATTTGTGTGCTATATTCCAGATTTGAGAACAAATCACTGACCATTTCAAATGAATCAACTGACCAAGTTCACAAAACAATTTGTTCACTGATTCAACTCATTAATTCAATGATCTGGAATGGTTAACTAACCACTGGAGGAGCAGATTAACCATGACTACGAGTTCAATTCAACTGTTCCTCAGTCAAAGCTATCATATCACTTCGATTTAGAACAAAAGTTGTATATATTACTTTTATCAATGTTTTATTATGCTTTTATCATGCTTTTGTGTCTTTTTGAGGCTTGAAAACGCCATTCACTGTAATTACAAAGAGCAATGACATTATTCAAACTCCTTTTGTCCTCCATATAAGCAAGTCATATGGGTTTATAGTGACATGACAGCAACTAAATGACGACAGTTTATAGTTTATATTAAGTATCAATAAAAATGTTGCAATTTATATGCAGTTATATATATATATATACATATAATTAGTGTATATAAAAACAATATGTATTACATTTAAATTTTAAATTTTTCTCTTTACATTTTTTTATTAAATAACTTTTTTCTTTTCTTGAATCATGAAGACAAGGAGTATATAATAACACAGTCAATAGGGTCCATTTTGATTTAATTTTGCCAGAAATAAGCAAACCAAAGGAAGAGAACAAAAAAAAAAAAAAACTGATGTATTTAAAATAAGAGAATGCACCATAGTCTTATGTGTTTTCTATCAGGAAACAAGCTTCTAAAATAAAAAACGAATGTTTTTTTTCCTTAGCAGAAATAGAAACTGACACAAATGAATCAATTGTTGACATACAGTAAGAGCTATAAAATCTTAATAGTAGCTCAGCTCATCATGTTTTTCTCTTAAAGTCTGTCTTTGCTCATCATTTAATATCAATGCTTTCTATGAGAAACACTTGACAAGTCAAAGCAATTTTATTCTGGTAAAACGATGACAATTTCTTTTAAATAATACAATTTTTATACATATTGAATTAACGAATATGTAGTCAACATGTACAACAATCATTTTCAGTCTTTCGTTAATTATATCCCTCTGTCTACGCAACATGACAACAGCAGAAAACCGATACCATCTCTAATACCGGCTTAGTCCTGTTTATAAAAGCTTCTGTCTAAGACTGCCGGTCTCAGAGTGTTTCCATATGTGTGATGCCCACACTGAGTTAGCCATGATTCACTCCAATCACAGTCCCACCAAAGCGGCTTCTGTTCCCCTGATCCAACGACTCAAACATATTACATGTCCCAAACATTACACAGCACTCACAGTCAACTCCAAACTGCCACGGACAGGCGTCTCATCTGGACGGGACGCACAATCATTCCCAGTTTATGAGGCAGAGATGAAGCAGAAGAGGCTCTTTAAATGACTAGTTCACCCAAAACTGAAAATTTGCTCACCAATGGATGCTCTGCAGTGAATGGGTGCCGTCAGAATGAGAGTCCAAACAGCTGATAAAAACATCACAATTAGTGGTCGACCGATAATGGGTTTTTTTGACGGCCGACGCCGATATCTTGGAAAGCAGGGTGGCCGATGGCCGATATAAAGCAGATATAATTTTATTTATTTTAATTAATGTTTAAGAAATGTGAAATCATTTGTAAATGGATTAAAAAGTAAATGTGTTAAATAAACATACTTATACTTTAGATGACAAAGTATTTTTCACAAATAAATAAATATTTAATAAAAAATATAATAAAAAAAGGAAGTAAACACTGTAACCAAGGCACTCAGTATTCTGGGAAGTTTGTGTGCATTGGGAATCATATTTTTTCAAATAAAGCCAATGTAACACTCATTTTACATACATACAGCAGTGAAAATGACATGAATATGACAGTGGGCAAATGCATAAAGCGCAGCATAATTTGAAATCACGAGTTTAAAGTTTGTCGATCGCGCGTCTCCAGTGAAGCTGAACTCTCCTCCTGTCAGCATTCAATTTGCACGGATCGACTGTCACGCAGAGAACGCGATCATGCAGGATACAAATGCACACTTCACAAGATCTCACAACTGGATCCGACTAAGTTTGCAAGCTTTGTGAAATTAAATGTTCATTAGTCATTCAAAGATTTGTTTAAATTATATGAATAGTATTTGCTGAATGCTGATGGCAAATGAGAAAGTATTATAATGTTTGCCTTTCTATTACTAATAATATAAAAGCAATCTTTATAATACTTTTTGTATACATTTTAATTCCTTTGTTTAACCGTTCTGATTATTAGACAGACTTCTATCCGTATTAGACAGAACTATTAACGACGACAGCGAACAAGAGGGAGAATGTAAGCACTGTGTGCTCAGGCGCTGCAGCTGTCAGCGCTGTCAAAATAAAAGTCTGTTGCGCCGTCAAAATTAAAGTCCCGCCTCGAACGCATCGGCCAAGCAGGAAAACTTATCGGCCGATGCCGATATTTAAAAAATGCCAAATATCGGCCGATATATCGGCCTTGGCGATATATCGGTCGACCACTAATCACAATAATCCACAAGTAATCCACTCCAGTCCATCAATTAACATCTTGTGAAGAGAAAAGCTGTGTGTTTGTAAGAAATAAAACCCATCATTAAAATGCTTTCAACTGTTACAAGTCTTCTATCAATAACAATGCTTTCTCCAGGAAAAAAGTAGTCTCGTCTGAATCAGGAGAGAAATCTGCACAGATCAAACACTGTTTACAAGTGAAAATAGTCTAAAACAGCTCTAAACAAATCTGTGGGTGGATTTTGATGTGAGAGGACAACAGGTGATGGACTTTTCCCACTGGAGTAAGCGTTATTATGGATTATAGACTCTAATTTGGCCAGAAGTAAAGGTTTGAAGTTAAAATGCATAAATGATGGATTTGTTTCTTACAAACACACAGCTTTTTGCTTCACACGACATTCATTTGATGGACTGGAGTGGATTACTTGTGGATTATTTTGATGTTTTTATCAGCTGTTCGGACTCTCATTCTGACGGCACCCATTCACTGCAGAGGATCCATTGGTGAGCAAGTGATGCAATGCTACATTTATCCAAATCTGATAAAGAAACAAACTCATCTACATCTTGGATGGCTTAAGGGTGAGTAAACTTTCAGCTAATTTTCATTTTTGGGTGAACTATTCCTTTAATTCATGTCATTCATGCTCTGTTTGAGAATTTCATTATTTTGCATGATGCATCTGCTATATATTTTCATTATTTGCCCATACAGACTCCTTAAGATTAGCTCCAAATAGAAAGCTGTAATTATGTCGAACAGGAACTTCAGGGTACTGTGTGAAAATGCAGAGCCCGACATCTTCACAAAACCCCCCCAAAAAGTCCCTCGGTGCCTAAAAGCATATCTAAAAATACTAGGGCACAGCTGGTTGAAATTTATTTTCTAGGCCATAGCAACAATGTTTGGTTGTTTCCAATTTCTAAAAACCGCAGATAGTAAAACGCACGGAGAATAAGGCGGACGTAAATAGCACATGCATGCTTCAGCACTTTTAAGGACAGAAAGTGAAATGTTTGTCAAAGGTAAATTCATGAGCCGTCTCACAATCATAATATAGTAAAACAGCCAGGGAAGCTTCCAATCATGAGGAATGAAGAGAAACTTATGAACTATAAGTGGAATCAATCTAACGAGTCAAAGACCGGCTACTGGTGTTCTGCACCTCTGTTAGTCATGATATGTGAACTGCTATTATAATGAAAGAAATCTGGAGTAATTTGTGGAAGTGAAAGTTTAATACATAGGGTCAGGGGTTTGTTCAAATCACTAACTCTGTGAGCAATAGTAATAGTAATGCTTGACTTGGCAAACACCACTAAAAGTATGTGTTTTATACCAGCATTCATTTCACCAATACATCATACTTAATCTCACCGCAAGCATGTTTGGACACATACAGTAAGCTGACATAATGACTACTAGTTAAGATTGCGAAGCAGCATTAACGTGCAGTGTTCAGTCATAATGAATGGAGTCTGGTCATATTTAAACAAAGGATAAGGCTATTGCTAAAGGCTTAATCAGTGCAAAAGAATTCAGTTGCACTAGTAATAGTAATGCTTGACTTGGCAAACACCACTTAAAAGTATGTGTTTTATACCAGCATTCATTTCACCAATACATCATAGTTAATCTCACTGCAAGCATGTTTGGACACATACAGTAAACTGACATAATGACTACTAGTTAAGATTGCGAAGCAGCATTAACGTGCAGTGTTCAGTCATAATGAATGGAGTCTGGTCATATTTAAACAAAGGATAAGGCTATTGCTAAAGGCTTAATCAGTGCAAAAGAATTCAGTTGCACAAAACAAATATGAGAAATTTTAGTTAATGAAGCCTTTTAATGTTCATAAAAAGTCTCTTCTGCTCACCAAGGTTGTATTTATTTGATCAAAAATACAGTAAAAATAGTAAAATATTTGTACAATTTAAAATAACTGTTTATATGTGAATGTATTGTAAAGTGTAATTTATTCCTGTGATGCGAAACTGAATTTTCAGCATCATTACTCCAGTCTTCAGTGTCACAAGATCCTTCAGAAATCATTCTCTAATATGCTGATTTGCAGCTCAAAAAACATTTCTCATTATACAGATCAATGCTGAAAACAGTTGCACGGCTTCATATTTTTGTGGAATCCGTGATATATTTTTTATACTTATTTTGTCATACGTTTTTTGAACCTAAACTATTAAAACAATTCTTTAATCTCTCTGTTA